CCCAGCACTCAGGAGGCTGAGGCAGAAGGATCGCTGTGGAGACCAGCCTGGGCTACATAGTCTCAGGTCAGTCTCAACTACATGGTGAGACCCTGTCTCAAAAAACCAAATAAATAAATAAATATAAATTTTAATATGAATTTTGAATCTGTAATATTGCTTTAGAGAATACTTTTATGGGAATATTGTTTCCAGCTCTTTATTTCTTCCTATGGCTCTAGACTTTCACCCTTTCCTCTCAGCCTGGGCTTCCTTTAGCGTTTTTTGAGCTGAGTGTGCTGGTGAATAAATTCTCAGGGCAATTTGTTTAAAATGACATTTATCTTTGATTTTTTTTCAGCAGTTACAAAGTATTTTAGATTGATTTTTTTTTTTTTTTTTTTTTTTTTTTTTTTTTTTTTTTTTTTTTTTTGGCATCAGGGATTGAACTCAGGACCTTGCACTTGAGAAGCAGGCAGCAGAAGCACTGAGCTAAATCCTCAGTGACTTGTTTTCTTGAGTCAGGGTCTCAATGTGTTTCAGGCTGATCTTGAATTCACTCAGACCAAGTTGCCTTGATCCTCCTTGCCTCAACTTTTGAGTATCCAGGATTACAAGCATGTGCCTACCACACCTGGCTTCAGCCACTAGTTTCCATAGAAATGTTTCCTGTCCATTCGCTCTTTCTCTTCCTGATCCCAATTACTTGCATTACACAGCTTGACATTCTTTGAGGCTCTGCTCCATTTTATCCCTGAACTTCGGTTCGGGTATGCTAACTTGGCCCATCTTCTAGTTCTCCGCCTCTTCTGCTCAGCTTTGTAGTAAATTTGTTACAGAATTTTCACTGGGTTCTTAGTTCCCCCATTTAAAAACCCTCTTCAAGCCCCTTGGCACATCAGTGATCAGGGCCTTGAGTGTGCTGTGGGCGCCTCCTCCACCCCACTGGATCTGTTGGGACCAACTTGGCCTGCACGGGGCTGTTTCAGGCTGGCCAGGGCAAGTGCTGTGGTCTGGGGCTTGCGGACTCCCTGGAAAGGACCAGGTGTTCTCGTGACACCCTGACCTGCACAGCCGCAGGAACCCCCAGTCCCAGCTCCTGGCGCTGCACAGTGAGGGCCTTTTCCATCCTCGGACTCCTCAGTGCTGCACCCCAGGTCCAACGGGGGCTCACGCTGGGGATGCATGCTTGCTGACACCCTCCTCCATGCATCCTGCAGTATTAGGGGTTGAAACGGGGGTGTGTGTATGGGTGTGTGTGTATCATTGTACCCCAAGAAAAAAAAAAAGGACCCAAGGAGAAACAGCCAGAATGAAGACACTTCTCAAAAGAATGGCCAATAAATACATGGAAAAAAAGGCTGAACATCGCTGGCCATTAGAGAAATGCAAATTAAAATGCTGAGATTCCACCTACCTCAGAAAAAATAGCTGTTATCAACAAGTCAAATAATGTTTGAACCGGGCATGGTGGTGCACACCTGTAATCCCAGCACTCAGGAGGCTGAGGCAGGAGGATCTCTGTGAGTCCGAGACCAGCCTGGGCTACATAGTGAGTTCCAAGTCATTCTCAACTACATAGTGAGACCCTGTCTCAAAAAACCAAAATAAATAAATAAAAATTAAAAATCAATGTTTGAGAGGCTGCAGGGGGAAGGAACCCTCTACACTGTTAGTGGGAATGAAAATTAGTACCACTATGGACAGCATTACAGATTCCTCAAAACACTGGCACTAGAAATTCTACCTGCCCCAGCTTCCTCTAAGTGAAGGTTTACAGTGATCCAGGAATTCCCGAGTTTACAGTAACATAATTCATAGCAGCGAAAGCTTAGAAAGACGAATGGGGGCCAGGGATTTAGCTCAGTGGTTCCACTGCCTGCCTCGAAAGCACAAGGTTGCACGAGTTTGATCCCCGGTACCAAAAAGAAACAAGATGAATGGATAAAGAAAACATGGTATTAGCTGGGCACACCCATAATCCCAGCACTCTGGAGGCTGAGGCAGGAGGCTCACTGGAGGCCAACCTTAACTACACTGCAAGACCTTGTCTCAAAACACAGGTATGTACCATCACACTCAGGTGACTTTTCACTACTTTAAGTAATATTTTTGAAGCTGGATGTGGCGGTGCATGCCTGTAATTCCAGTATCTGGGAGGCTGAGAGGAAGATCACTGCAAGTCTGAGGCCAGCTCGGGAAGACCTCAAGGCCAGGTGGACTACATGCTGAGGCCGTCTAGCCTCCTCCCACTTCCCCGAGTTTTGAGAGCCCTTCTGCTGCCACCGGGCACCTGAGTGCTGGGGCACCCTGGGCTTCCTGTCACTTACCTACCCTGCCCGGCTGACACTGAGGCAACCCTGCCTGGCTGTCTGGCCCTGTACATCAGGTGGACCCAGCCTGTTGTGAAGCTGAGCCATGGGTACTTGTTCTGATGACAGCAGGGCAGATCACCCTCTGGGGCAGAAGTCTCATCACTGGCACCACAGGGAACACGAGGAGGGTGGCGACAGGACTGAAAGTTTTGCTGTTCTCCAGACCACAGGGAGGCAAGAAGAGACTGACACAAGGCCTTCGGCTGGGTGGGTGTGCATGGCGGAATGAGGCCAGCCTGAACCAAACAGAGCCTGTCCCAAAAAACAAATCCACAGGATGCACTGGGGCACTTAACCTCAGTCCCAGGCCCACCTAGACACCAGGCGGGGGGTACTGTGGCCAGCTCCTTGCACACTGTATGAAGGAGACACCTCCAGCCTTCCTTCCCTGCACCTCCCCAGGGAGCTTCCACAACCTTGGACTCCTGCTGCCACCTGCTGGTAAAGCGGCATAAGTAACGACAACCATTTGCAACCTGGAACTGCTTTTTTCTAAGATGGCTGCAAAATGCAAATGAGGAAACCAGCAGCAGGGACCTTAGGGCCCTGCACACGCTCCATGGCTCCTGCATAGAAGCCCCGGGGTGGACTTCCCACTGCCCTCCCTCAGAGCGGGAAAAGAACTGCAGCTCCAAAGCTCTGTCTGTTCTGCCCTGGGGCAGCATCTTCCTTCCCGAAGCATCACACCAGAATCTTTGCCCCAGGCATGGAGTGGCCCATCTCTTCCTGCACCCAGGCTGCCTACCAAAACTCCACTCCCATGGGTCCCCAGCCATATGGGCACTTTGCACTAGTGCTGTGCTGTGGCCTTGCTACAGACTTCTAAAGAACAGACTTCTGGCAGCCTGTTGCTTGCCATAGCTAAGTACCCAAAGGCAACAGGAAGCTGGGTGTGCTGTCATGCCAGCACTTGGGAGGCTGAGGCAGGAAGACTGCCAGGAGTTTTAGGCCAGCCTGGGTTACATGGTATCTTAAGGGGGGGGCACTGGGTAGAGGGGCCCCAACTTGCTTTCAGACTCACCCTACAAAGCCCTTCTGGGTGGGTTGCCTTCAGTGGGACAGCTCGGCCCTCCCTAAGGGGTGGGGTGTGGCCCAGCAGAGCACTCGTCAAGCTATGCTATAGGCTCCTCTCTGCTCTCCACATAACCTGTGGCACTTTGGGGGTTACAACTGTCAGGTCTTCGGGTGCAGCATGGGGCTCAAAGCCAGAGAAGTGCAGTAACTAGGCCAGCGCCATGCTGGGTCCTGGCTTGGTCCAGGAGGGACTGAGCGCTGCTCTAGAGCACACAGCCAAGAGCACCACCTTGCCATCCGGTTTGCCCAACAGACCTGCCCTCCTCAGCTGTACAGCAGAGCTCCCGGCTCCGGCCTCCGTGCCCCTCTGAAGACCTGAACAGGGTGGCATGGTGCGGAGATGGCTCTTAAGTGTTTCTTCTGGCCACTGGGCCCTCGGGGTGCTGCTCCAACTCCCAGCACCCGCTCAGACTGGCCACCAGTTTGACCACAACAGGCTCTGGGACCCGGCTGCCTACATTTATTCCAGACAGCTCTAACTGAAACCTGCCCCTCTTGTGTGGCTTCTGACTCCATCAGGCAGTGTCCATCCGGTGTGAACGGTGTCGTGTCCCTGCACTTCCAGACCGCCGACGGGCTGCTTCCTCACGCCCGAGTCAGGGGAACTGAGCTGTGGTCACAACTCCCTGCTTGGGCCTGCCTGGTGAGGTGGGGCTGGATGGCCAGGCGGGCTTTCCATGTTCTTCTGTTGCACCCACTAGAAACACTTTTTTAATACACCTGGCACCAGAGTTTAGGACTTTTAATTTGTCCTAAAATCACTGAAGGAAAAATCATAAAACATCCTGCTTTCCTTTACAACCCCCCAACACACAAAAAAACTATTTGTAGGAAAAAAATGGTTTTGTACATGGGATGAAACAATATAAATTCAAAACTTACAGATTAGGGTTAACTCTATCACTCATCGCTTTAAAAAGTTTATGAAACTCCAGTCAAAACCATCAGGGTACATGGGTATCTCTCTCCTGAAATGCCATCTACGCTTCCCAAGTAGACCACAGGACGCACACCGTCTTGGAATGTCCTCAGAAGGCTCTGTCATCTACAGGTAACAGAGTAAAACCCCAGAGTCCTTTCTTTCCAACGAACAGGTACAGACAGGGAGAGGGACTATTCAAACTTCGTCTTCTTTCCTTGTGGCTTGTGGTCTCCGCCTCCTCCCCTGCCTCCTCGGAAGCCGCCTCGCCCTGCAGAAGGCAAACGTGGTGAGATGGCGCAGGGCTGCCAGGCCCCCTCCCCACAGCAGACAGGCGAGCCCTGTCCTTACCTCCAAAGCCTCCCCGGCCTCTGCCTCCAAATCCGCCTCGGCCGCCTCTGCCACCACCTCGGCCCCCGAAGCCTCCTCTGCCGCCACCACGGCCCCCGAAACCACCTTCTCCCTTAGGCTTTGCCCAGTCCAAGGTAACTTTGTTTCCGTCGATTTCACCATCTTCCATGGCCTCCTTGGCAGCCTTGGCATCTTCCTCACTGTTGAAGTCTACAAAACCAAAGCTGGAAAAAAAGCAAACGAAACAGCCATTAGCACACAGGTGTGCACTGAAAGCTCCCAGGAGGGGTGTTTAAGTCTAAGCATGTGTCACAGAACAGCCACATACACCTCTGCCAAAAGAGAGGCTAAGGCAACGCTGGTTCTGTGAAGTGCTGTTCTTCTCGTGCGAATCCGTGACTGCCACCAGGGACAGAAAGGAGCTCAATGAGAAGGAGCGGGGCGGAAGCAGCACTGCCCAGCCTGTTCTCACCCCTTGGAAGAGCCGGTTTCCCGGTCAGTGACTATCCTTGCTCCAATAGAGCCGTCAAATGATTCCTTTAAGGTCTCTTCGGTGGTTTCCTCAGACAAACCCTTGACAAACAGGGTCTTGGATGGCTCTGGGAAAGACAGACAAAACTGTTATCTGAAGTCACAATTCACAGCAATGCTGATTTTGTGCCGTGTCCAGTATGCTTGTTTCAGCAGAAGAGTTGTTAGCCTATCAATGCTCAATTTAAACAAAAGACTCACACCAATAACCTATCATCTTTATTCTGGAACTAGGGATGGAATACAGGGATGCTCTGTTTGAGCTACACTCCAGGCCTTTTTCTTTTTCCAGCTAGGACCTAAATTGCCTGGGTAGGACCTGAACCTGTGATTCCCCTTACTCCCTCAGAGCTGGGATTAGAAGCTTGCACCAAACCTGGCTTCCATCCCTACTACACAGCTGAGCGCCTGCCTCAGGTTTTTTATGGAAAGCAAGAGAGCAAAACGGGTACCACTGCCCGGCAGACAGTAGGCAGCAGACTTGCTGCTAAGGTGACACAGCTGGATCAGAACTTGACTATCTAGAGGAATCTTCTTGAGATTTCATCAAGTCTTTTTCTCAGGTAATCAGTCATCATATCCAGTTGTCACTTGGCAGCAACTGCAAGTCACCCCCAGATTTGTGGGAAAATACCTAAGTTCCAGCAAGCCAAGGCAGGCGCCACCCCCACCGTGACACCTGCTTGTTGGACTCACGGCTTCTGGCGTTGGGCGAACCCCTGGGTCCTTGCAGCTCCAGTCTGATGGTTCTGCCCTCAATTTCTCTTTTATTGCAGGAGTTTAAAGCTTCTTTAGCATCTTCAAATGAAGCAAATTCTATGAACGCATACCTGAGGATGGACAGCCAACTGTCAGGGCAGGCAGAGGCCCTGTCCCGCACTGATCTGAGCAGCCGGGCCCTGCACAAGAAAACCACAGCCCGTCCCAACACACAAAGATTACCCTTTAGATTTGCCGTTTTGGTTCTGGGGCACTTTGATAAAAGTTGCTTTCTCAAATACTTCCTGGAGCGTTTCTTCTGTGGCGCTGTAGGAGAGGTTGCTTAAATACAGAGTTTTTGATTCACCTGCAAATACAGAGAAGTGCATATTTCAGACCGGCTCACGGGCCTTTTGTTCCCCAAACCTCCGCCTTGGGGCCTTGGGGGGACGACACAACCCCTGTGCCAGCCCCGCCCCACCCTGTCCTCCCGCAGGCTGAAGTGCTCCACCCCTTCCAGAGGCTGCGGGCACCTCTAACTCACCACTCCAGGTGCTGTTCTTCCCGCCTCTGTAGTCCTGGTTTTGACCTTTCTCCCCCGTGTAGTAGAGGGAAACAGATCGCCCATCAATCTCTGTTCCCTGCTTTTCTTCAAAGGTTTTCTCCGCATCAGCTTCGGTCTTAAATTCAATATAAGCAATCCTGCAATAGGAAATTCATTAACACGTTTACCCTCAGCAACACTAAGAAAACACACCATTAGATAACTAAGTGCACAATGCCACAGCAGAGCAATGTCACACGACAATGTAACCCATGGGCCAGACACACAGAGCACTGACCTAAGGCAGGAGCCTCTCACCCCTGGCACTCTATAATTCATCTTTTTTTGTGGAGACAAGGCTTCAGCTACGCAGTTCAGCCTGGCCAAGAACTCGTGGCAACCCTCCTGCTTCAGACCCCCAGGTGCCAGAATTCCAGGCTGCACCAACACACCCAGGATCTAAATTCATCTTTAAAAGTCCCTCTGAATTAAGTATGTTTATTTATCCTATGTTGTAGACAAGGAACCGAGTAGCAGGAATGGTTTAAAGGTAGAACTGCCCAGACCATATACCCAGGAAAAGTGGGCCCACACTTCTTACATAAGGCATGAAGTGCCTCTCTTGCTGCCTTGTGTACACCATGCTGTTTCTGTTCTGCCTATCCCTGCTCTTCTGCCATCCGTGCCTGGGAGCCAGCCACTTACGGACTGACGCCTCTCTCTACGAACTATAAGCCCAATAAACCCCTCCCCCCCCTTCTAACTTGTGGTGCTGGTATTTTCTCTCTGCAACTAGAGAAAGGTAACTAACACAGAAATTTGGTGCCAGAGAAGTGGGGTCATTGCTGAAACATCACCTAGCCATCTGGCTCACAAGCCTTTGGAACTGACTGGTGGGAAGGGGAAGAGTTAGAAAAGATTCGGAGACACTGGCTACAGAAATAGCACAGGGGGCCTGGTACGTAAGAGTTCAGTGGTCCCAGTGCCTGGCTTGTAAGCACAAGGGCCTGAGTTCGATCCCCAGTACCAAAAATCAAAAAACCCCAGAAGACCAGAAAGCTTGTAAAGACCAGGCTCAAGGAGTTTCTGCCAAGGACTGCACTGGCTGTTGGATTCTAGACAATGTGTTATGGCTTGGCAGAAAGTTTGTCTGTGTTTTATTTGTGTCTAGAGACTTTGCCTGAGACTAGGGGCAGTGGACTAATTAATCTTGCAGAGGAAATTTCAAGGCAGTCAAATAATGAAGCAATGACATGGCTGCTGTTGGGGGCCTTTAGCCAGATCTATGCTGAGAATCAAGAGCAAAGAGTCCAGCAGAATGATTTACACTGTTGAGTTTGCCAAGAAAGGAAAGGCCAGTAAAACTATGGACTACATAGATAGAGCACAGGAGATCTTGATTTCTGAGAAGGAACTGGAGTTGTTCCTCAGACCGGATTCTCAGTGCGCAGTAATCCACGCACTCTACAGCAGAGGAAGCAGGGCTACTGTTCCAGCTGGGAGCAGACCTTGGCATGTTCCATGTGGTGATTTTAGATACATGCAGAATGCAAGAGTTGTGGGGTCAGGGAGGCTTCCACAAGACTTGGAAGACCAGAGACCAGGCAGGGTGCCCCAGAGAGGACAATGTGTGAAATGGAAGGTGCAGTGGAGACCCCAGAAGTTTGGAAAAGACGGAAGCGTGGACCGTCTGAGGAAAGATCCAAGGAGGGAGCAGGGCCGGCCCAAGACAGCATGGGAGCTACAACCACCGGAAGTGCCTTAGGAGTGGAGCTACCCAAGCCCTTTGGAGTTCACAACTTGCCACTGACTGTCTGGGATGCTGCACATGGAACTATAGACTTAATGTTTACCCTGCTGGATTTTGGACTTGCTTTGATCCCAATTCCTCTGAATCCCCCCTATTTGTACCTTTGGAATGGTAATGTCTATCTTGTGCCACTGAATGTTGGAAGTGTTTGACTTTCTTTTCATTTGCACAGGGGCTTGCAGCTAAGAGTTTGCCTTAAATTTCAGAGGACGCTCAGGACTTGGGACTTTTCAGAAATGCTGAAAACGTTAGGACTTTGGCAACTCTTAGAAATAAAGACTAAATGAGCCGGGCGTGGTGGCGCACGCCTGTAATTCCAGCACTCAGGAAGCTGAGGCAGGAGGATCGCTGTTTGAGACCAGCCTGCACTACATGAATTCCAGGTCAGTCTCAACTACATAGTAAGACCCTGTCTCAAAAAAAATCAACCAACCAACCAACCAACCAAAAAACCAGAAATAAGGCTAAATAAATGCCTTTTACTTAAGGGAATGTGTGTCTTTGTGGGGGGACAGGCGGAATATTATGGTTTGCATCTCGATATCCCCCCAAAGCTTCATGTGGTCAGTCATAGGCTTGATCTAGAGTGTGAAGCTAGAATTGATTCAGGATTACAATGCTGGGCTCAAGGGCACTGGGATTAAGGGTGACTGCTACTCGCCCTTCCCTAAGTAGTCTGAATAAAAGGGACAAGGAACCTCTGTTGAGCTCTCTTGCTACCTTTGCTTCCTTGTGTGCGCCATGCTGTTTCTGTTCTGCATTGTCCTTTTGCCATCCCAGCCTGGGAGCCAGCCATTTATGTACCTAAGCCTCTATGAACTGTTAAGCCAAATAAACCCCTTCCCCTCTAACTTGTGGTGCTGGGTATTTTGTCTCAGCAATGAGAGAAAGGTAACTAACAAACATCATTGAATGAGTGTCTGTTATCAATGAAAAAAAGCCTATCTAGTTAACACGTGGATTCCTTTTGGGGGGGGGATCGGGGACCAAACCCGTGCTTGTGAGGCTGGCGGCAGCACCACTGAGCTAAATCCCTGAACCCTGGATCCTTTTTTCCTTATTGAGTTTTGTGTCTTACGAGAACTGTTGAAAATTTTAGAACAGAGTAACACACCTACATCTACTACCATAGAGATGTGTAAATCAGGTTATGACTTTTGAGTGTGATGAAGAGTGAGCATGGTGTTTACATTGTAGAATCCGTTTTTTAGATTTAAGGGCATACAATGCTTTCATGTTTTTTATAAAAGCTCTTTTTGAGACTAGAGTAACTTTTTAAAAAAGTTAATTTTACTAGAAGAGTAATTTTTGAACTGTTTTAGTATGTCATAATCCCTTAATGATGCAAGTATTCTGCTGAATTAAAACTTTTGTACAGATGTTGGTCTAGGTATTTATTTTCGTGTATTTTATATATTAAAAAAAAGCTTTTCCATTCAGAAGACATTACGCATACTTGCTGGGGTTACAGAAATCATTTGTTTATTGCCTATCTATAAACCTGTTATTGTTCAAGTCCACATACTGCAGACATCTAGGTACCTGTTGATAAAATCTTCTCCCAGCACCCACTGGCATGTTAGTCAAGAGGTCACTTCAATGAAGTGCTAGCTATTAAGACACACACGCAAAAAAAGTGCATAAAGTGCCTTAATGCTAACACAATTCTACTCCCCACACACAGAACTTACCCTTTACTCTTCCCGTCCTTGCTGACTAGTCTGATCTCTAGGGCATCTTCAAATACTTCTTTTAATTCATCCTGAGTGACTTTGTAAGGGAGATTTTTGGCCAAAAGTGTTCTGGCATCTCGATCTAGATTTAAAAATAAAAAATAACAAATGAACAGAAGATGGGAAAAATCCCAAAGATAGTTTCATCCAACAAAGCTGAATCCTCCTCCTGTGTATAAGGCCTCTGCTAAGCAGCAGCACAGCAGTGAGAAGTCACAACAGGTCCCACCAAGCTGCTAAAGCTCATGCCAACTGTCTGCCACATTTATAACAGACCCCACCCTCAAGTAGGGGCTCAATCTTAAAAAAAGAAAAAAACCCAAAAAACCCCACAAATTAGTGGCACATACCTGCAACCTAGGTTACTGAGGGTCTTAGTGGGACCTTAGTGGGACCTTGTCTCAAAGGGGGTTCAGGGCACCCTGGGGTGCAAGTCAGTGGGAGAGTGCTGACCCAGGATGCAAAAGGTCTCGGGTTCAATCTCCAGTATCAAAAATACCATAACAAGTAACTTTAAACATGCCAAAATATACAGAAAGTAAAAGATACAAAGAGTATTCAGGAAGACAATATATTTTGCGAGGCACCCATATTTAGGTCCACTTAACTCCGAATGAGTATTCAATAAGTGAAAAAACCTGTAATTTTTTTGGTATTGGGGATCAAACTCGGGTCCTTGTGCTTGCTAGGCAGGCGCCAAAACACAGCTAAATCCCCAGCCCTGGTACCTTTTTTCGATAGGGTCTTGCTTTGTAGTCCAGATGGGCCTTCAACTCACTATGTAGCCCCCAGAGGCAATCCTAACTCAGCCTCCCCAAGTTTACCACCATACCTACCTCAAAACAAAACAAAAAAACCAAAAAAACAACAAACAACCCAAAAAACCAAAACAAAAAAACCTGAAACTTTTTTTGTTCCCTACTGTGGATTACTTAGGACCTTAGCTGGACATGGTGGCACATGCCGGCAATCCCAGCACTTGGGAGGCTGAGGCAGGAGGATCGCTCTTAAGTTCAAGACCAGCCTGGAATATACAAAGTGAGTTCCAGGCCAGTCTCAACTATATAGTGAGACCCTGTCTCAAAAAAACAACAACAAAAAAAAAACAAAGCCAAACTCAGCACCTTGTGCTTATGAGGCAGACGTGACACCACTGAGCTAAATATCTGGCCTCCAAATTTGGAACTTTTTGAGCACTGACAGGACACCTATGATGACTTGCAGCCATTATCACATTGTGTATAATGTGTATAAGTACACGAATCCATCCCATGTTTAGAGTTACATCCTATCTCCACAATATCTGATACGTATATGAAAATATTCCAAAATAAAAAACACGTCCAGATTCCAAGCATTCTACTAACCTATAATTGTTTTCTGCCTAAGACTGATCTCTTGCTTGCCTCTTTTTCATTATTTTTGTAGTACTAGGGGTGCATAACTGGCCCTTTCTAAATTTTGTGACTAAGTCTTGGTGAGTTACCCTGGCTGGGCTCAAACTTGTGACCCTCCTGCTTCAGCCTGCTTCTGGGATGACAGGCGTGCACCACCACCAAATGCCAGCTACTCTCGTAAACATTTCCTTTTCTTTTTGGTTTTTTGAAACAGGGTCTCACTATGTAGTTGAGACTGACCTGGAACTCACTATGTAGCCCAGGCTGGTCTCAAACTCACAGCGATCCTCCTGCCTCAGCCTCCCGAGTGCTGGGATTACAGGCATATGCCACCATGCCCAGCTCTAATCCAATTCAATCTGAACAGAAAAAACCTAGGCAGAAGGGCAAAAGCAGCCAAGCCCAATCATACCATTCCACAAACATCTTACATACCTTTCTTGCTGTCTTTTCCTTTGGGTTTCTCTAGTTTAATTTCACTGCCAAAGACTTTTAAACCAGTGAGTTCCAAGGCCTTTTCCAGGTCTTCAGCAGATTCAAAATCCACATAACCAAACTTCCTTCAAGTTAACAGAACAAAATTATTAAAGAAACCATCCCAGAAACTTTCAGCACATAGCCTGCACCAAAGTGATGCTGATTATCAGGATTAAATCCAAAGTAACCCAAATAGTTAAGTAAGTCAGGGTTCAGCAGATTCAGGCTACTAAATAAGACCCAAGTACCCAAACGACTGGGCAAATTCCCCTTTGAGTCTATGAGCGGCACTCCATGTGAGAGATGCCAGCAGAGACCAAAGGAATCTGCTTTTAGCACTGAGAAGAGAATCCTGACTAAAAGCCTCCACCACTTTGACAACACTTCAGATTAATACTTTCAGGTATTTCCAGAACGTAGAAAGCAAATTCTTCAAACCATTACTAAAAATTACTTGGTACTATATCAAAAGTTAGGGTTGATTATGAAAAATTTGGATTTGGGGGTTTTGGTACCAGGGATCGAACTCGGGTCCTTGTGCTTGAGAGGCTGACAGCCGAACCACTGAGCTAAATCCCAGGTGGATTTGGGGGTTTTGTAACTGCAATTTAATTTGTTACGCCTAACTTATAAGATGTTTACATTCATGTTTAAGAGTACCTAGTTACAGCTTGGGAAAATCCAACAGATCCACATGTAACATACAGAAAAGTACTTACCGATTTGTACCAATTCTGACATCCACAGTAATGAGATCATTCTTTGCAAAAACTTCACTGATACCAGTTTTTAACTCAGGAACAGATTTGTTAGAATTCAGATTTCCAATGAAGAGGTTGAAAGCTGTAGTTGGTTCTGTGCCTGTATCAAAAAGGAATCTGTTAGTGTGTAATACGGAGTACAAACCAATTCTGAGCCCAAAATCTTGATCCACAGCACATCAGTTTACTGCACTGTCAACATCAGGTTTCAGTATTAAGTCCCATTGTCGTTCATCCTTTGCACTGTTCATTTGCTCAACCCAGCCCACCCACACTGACTCTCTACAGGTTACCTTCCACTTTCTGTTTCTTGGCTTCAGGAGCTGCCTTCTGTTTGCTCATTTCCTTCTTTCGTTTTCCAGGTGCTTCTTTGACAGGCTCTGCACAAAATTTTAGATAATGTGTCATTCACAAGAAGCCATGTAAACTAAGTACTTTTAACCATAATTCACATAACTGTACTTCAGAATCTGATTTGCTTACCTTCCTCTTCTTCCTCCTCCTCGTCTTCATCCTCTTCATCCTCGTCCTCGTCCTCCTCCTCCTCCTCATCATCGTCCTCCTCCTCTTCCTCATCCTCCTCCTCCTCCTCAGCCACGTTCTTGGCTTTTATAGGAGTGGCTTTTGCAGGAGCTTTTTTTCCTTTGGCTGGTGTGGTTTCCATTGCTTCTTCTTCAGAGTCTGAAAGAGAAACTAGTTGAACCCTACCTAGAAAAACACTTGCCGACCAACAGGACTCCTAGGAGAAACTAGAGGAAAGAACACATCCTCACACCATCCTTAGTAATTAGGGCGAGAATAACAGCCCAGAGAACACTCAGAAAGATTTGACCCTAGTCCCCAGGGAGCCAGAGGAGCATGCGCTATGCTGCCAGAACTTCACATCAAAATACCCTGCAAACAGCAGCCCAGCAATGGTGAAGAGAACTCACCGTCTTCCTCCTCCTCATCCTCCTCCTCTTCTTCATCCTCCTCCTCCTCATCATCCTCATCTTCTGAGGCAGGGGCAGCAGCTACTGCTTTCATCACTTTTGGTTCAAATTCCTCATCTTCATCTTCTTCCTCCTCCTCCTCCTCCTCTTCGTCCTCGCTGTCATCATCCTCTTCTTCCTCATCACTGTCTTCCTTCTTGGCATTTTTGCCATTCTTTGCCCCCTTGGCCTGGGCAACAACAGCCCCCTTCTTACCTGGGGCTGCTACCACAACTTTGCCCAGAGCAGCTCCCTTCTTGCCAGGTGCTGCGACTGCCTTGGCAGGCATCACTGTCTTCTTGGCTGGTGTGGCCACTGCCGCCTTTTTGCCTGGGGTGACAGCTGCTTTCTTGGCAGGTGTGGCAATTGCAACCTTTTTGGTTGGGGACACCATTACTTTTTTTGCTGGAGTCACCGCAGCCTTCTTGCTTTTTTTCTGAGGGATGACAACCTTGAGTGTAAATAAAAACAAAGTAAATAATACTGAAAAACATAGCCTCAGTCCTCCCGAAAACTTGTTTAATCCTAGCACTGTCTATAGTTGAAGACAACACATTAAATACAGGTTCAACTGAAGTCAGGTTCTCCATCCTTCCACAGGCCAATCCCTCATCAGTATGAAAAACCCAAGCAGACAGAGCCCTTCCTAACACCTGAAATACCTCTGAAGCAAACCTTCACCAATTCCTTCATGTCATGCTACTTCACTTTCAACTTCCTCATATAAAAAACGTATTAAACAGTAATTCTACATTGTTTTAAGGACGAGTAACCCTAGGTAATTATTCCAAATCTTACATATAAGTCTGCTTTAACTGTTACTGAATTGAGATTCCTATAGTGGAGGTGGATGGACCTCATTAAAGTATTTGCAAACTATTAAAATAAAGAGAATGGAGAGCAGTGGATGTAGCTAAGAGGTACAGGGCCTGCCTGGCAAGCGTGAGGGCCTGAATTCAATTCCCAATACCCCCCCGCCAAATAAATAAAATTTGGGCAAGATCATGAATTCGATCCCTGGTACCAAAGGAAAAAAAAAGGCACAGTAACCTGATAAAAACCAGGCAACCAGGCTCAGGTATTTGTGCAAATCCTATTCAGAACTTTCTATTAATTGCCAATTTGTCAATTAATTTGTATAAAGCTACTAAATTCGAAACAAGCAAGATGCTGTGGTATACACCTGTCATCCCACCAATGGGGAGGTTGAGGCAGGATGATCTGTAAGTTCCAACTCCAGCCCGGGCTACATAATGACACTGTGTTAAAATTAAATAGGGCCAGGGACGTAGCTCAGTGGTGCACCATGCCTGCCTAGCAAACACAAGGTCGTGAGTTAGATCCCCAGTACTGGGGAAAAAAAAATTTTTTTTAAATAAAACTGTGAGCAAGAAACATGAGCACAATTGTAGGTAAACTGTGTTTACAGTGAACAAATAGAAATGCTACAGAGAACAAACATGAATACAGAGAGAGGTGGCAGCCCTCAATCCACACATTATTTGTAACATATTAGCACTGCAGATATAATAGACTGAGACCAATTAATCCTGCACAGGTGATAGGCCAGCCTGACCCAACTTAGACACTACCCTCAAAATTTAAAAAAACAAAAAAAACCCGACCCATCACACCAAGCTCTGCGGAAGGGAGTGGAGGGGGAAGGAAAAACCCCTTCCTAGTATCTCAAACCCATTCAGATCTTACCCAAATGACAACCTTTCCTTTAAAGATGTGCTTGTCATTCGTACATAGGTCAATGACACAATAGGTCAAACATGAGTAAATCTTCCATTGGATGTAATTACCTCCTCTCCACTGCTGTCATCTTCTTCGTCCTCTGACATTTCCTCATCATCGCTATCTTCCTCTACCTCCTTTGGGGGAGGGGCCATTTTCTTGGGGTCACCTTGGTTTTTACCAGCCTAGAAATGGACAGTTTAAATCATTATACTTCTACCCACATTTGAGACCACTCACATTGTGCCATTTCCCCATAGTAAAACACCATATACAATCATCTCACTCCTTAAAATCTGCTTTCCCTGGTGAGCGTCAAGGCCATTCCTGTTGGCAGTGCAGACATTTTTCGTTTGGCTTTGCAAACAAAAAAAACCCAACTTAACAGAAAAAGTCACGTTGAAGAAATGATCTTTCCTCGCTTTAAACACACTTTAAAGTATAAAAGCACAATAATTCGTGGCATTGTGCCTAACTTTTAATAACTAGCAGCGTGCGAGTAGTGATTTCCCCAATAGCCGGTTTTTTGTGCGTCCCTGAGGTCTATACAATTCAGGTTGTCCTCGAACTCCTGGTGAGCCAGCCGCCTCGCCTTCCCGAGGGCGGGAATTATAGCGTATAATGCACTGGAGACTCCGCTTGAATTCAAATTAGACGACCTTTAAGAACCTTTAAAAAGTTATATATATATATATGTGGGCTACTTGGGTTTTCCCTTAACTTTTCCTTTCTCTGAGCAGCGACCCGCCTCTGCCAGGCACAGAAGGGCCACGTGGGGTTCCAGGTTGCCACCACGTGCCCGTGGGACAGCGCCTCCTCTAGAGCTCACCACGTGCCAGGCTGCCAGGCCGGAGCTCACCACGGAGCGGCCTCGAGGCCGTCGAGCCCCCAAGGCCGGTCCTGCTGTCCTCGGGCCCCCCCCGGTACCCCCGGCCCATACGGAGGA